GATAGGATACTTCCTTGATTTTTTGCTTCTGAAACAAAAGAAGAAATTGTCAAAATTATGCACTTTTCATTCTATAAAAACGACGATTATTTATCACTTAAAGATTTAAATGATACAGTTGTGCATCAGACATTGCCCTCTTTCTTTAAACGGAGGGTCACTTGAAATAACAACGACATTCCCTTTAATAGAATCTAATGTTTAGAAAGCTGTGAGCGAGGATGCATTTACCTCTGAGTCCGAGAGTTCAACTGCCACGTGTAAAACAGTTCGGAATATGGGACCAAAAAACATGAGCCAATCAACTTCAGGTTTATAAACACTTTCTTGCAGCTGTTCAGAAGTCAACAGTTTTGTGTTGTTAAACTTGGGTTCAAGCACCATGTATTGTACAATCCTACTCTTTTGGATGGTATGGAAGTCTCCCTGTCGGAACACTCCCATTGTATATTGCATCTGAAATAAAAAGAAATGACATTATTATTATATTTGCTTTTTAAGGTGGCACGTCAGATCTTAATCTTTCGGTGGTAAAAATGGGAGTGAGTTATTCTTCTGATCAAATAGAAATTGAATTAAAGCGTATGAATTGCATAAGATGGAAAACAATGCTTGATCCCAAGATTGACAACACAAAAGTACAAAATTTTAGTCAACTTGTGTATGCCATTATTGTGCATTTCATCACTAGTTTTTTTTCTTCTCTGTTTGGTATTTTCTTAATTTATTTTTTTAATTTTCGCAGTGGCTGCTTTGTTTTGTGGTTTAATTAAAATTGTTGAATTGAAAAAAAATAATTCTTCCCTAAAATTAAAGGAGGTAAAAGCTTGAGCCTTCCCCCTGGTTGTGTCCCAAATTATTCGTTCCTGAATTTTACAGGGAAGAGGACGCCCCCCCCCCATTTTCCAGTATCTATACATTTTTGGGATGGAAGAATATCTACAGATTTATTATTATAAAATCTGAATGAATGTTTGTATCTAAAAATATCAAGTATTTCTTGATGTTCTCAAACTTTGAAATATTTTAGTAAGTTTTGGATCAGAGCTGTCTCTTGAACAAGAAAGCAAACCATCAAGCACTCTTAACAAACTTGCAGCTAACGTAAGTATTGATTTTTTATAGGGGTAGGGGGTTGTCTGGGGGTTGTCCGGGGGTTGATGGTTTGCTTTCTTGTTCAAGAGA